CAGGACTTGAGTCTTGCAGGTGTCTTCCAGGCACGACTGCAGGACTCCCTGCCTCGGAGCTTTTCCGAGGCATCTCTCTTGCAAGTACCATAAATCCAGGCACTGCCATGGAGCAGCGACCCCCAAGAGTTCCCAAGCTGGCCTGGGTGCAGGAGGAGGAGGAAGAAGAAAGCCCTGGAGCTGCCCCAGAGGTAGAGACTGAAGAGATGCAGGAATTCCAGCCGCTGGAGGAGGGTGAGTGGCAGAGCTGGGCCACAGGGCTGGTGCCTGCAGACAGCTTGGTCCCATCCCATCCAATTCCATCCCCTGGGGACATGCCCACAGAAAGGATCGGAGAGAGGCTGGGGCTGGCCACCAAGCGTGCTCCATCCTCTGGGGCATCTCGGGGCTGTCCCTGCCTGGGGATCACAGGGCTGGGCTGCGTTCTCCAGCCGCTCCTGCAGCCCCTCAGCTCTTGCTGCTCTCACTCTTTGCCAGAAGCAGCCGTAGACCAGACACAAGAGCAGGACCTTGCCTGTGGCCTCTTCCACAAAACACCTGCACAGGTACCTGCAGCCATCCCCAACTGGGCTGGGCCTGCTTGCACTGCTCAGCTCAGCACCATGCTTGGAACACTCCATGCAATATCCCTCTCTTCCCACCCTTCCTTCTCCTACCCAACATGCAAATTCATCAAGCGCATTTGGCAGGAAGAGACCAGCGTCATGGGCACTGGGTCCATGGAAGATGGTGACATCTACACCAGCGACACCAGTGCTGCCATGATGGAATTCATTTTGGAGGAGGGTGTTTCCATTCCAGAGCAAGTAAGCAGCCTGTGGCCAGGGTTTGATCCTCCAGGGATCGCTTGGCCTCCCAAGCCACGCCTGCTGATCACTCTAAGCCTTTGAGGCCATTGCAGCGTGGTGACAAGGGAAGCACTTCTCTGGGGAAGCAGGGGACATTCCTAACTCCCTCTGGCAGCTTTCCAAGTCTCCCATTGTGCCTTCTCCAGGTGCCTGCCATGGTGAGGTACATCCACCAGTGCCTCATGGCTAATGAGTCTGCTGACTCCAGGCTGGGCAGGACCCTGCTGGATCTGACCGAGGCACAGCCTGCTGACGTGGTCACTGCTCTCCTGCGTGTGGCCCCAACGTGTGACAGGTATGAGGCCCATGTGCCCAGAGGGCTCAGGGCTCCCCAGCACATCAGCTTGCACAGCCTGGACCAAGTGTCTGACCAACAGAGAGTTCCAGGGTCCTGTGTACCTGGGACCTTTCCCAGCCCTGCTCCATTGGCCCCTGAGCCTGCTGCCATGCCATGCCCTGTCAGGGCCCTGTCCCCGCAGGGCTGGGTTGCCTGGGTGCTGCTGCTGGTGAGGGGCAGCGGGCAGAGGCAGAGCTGGCAACGCCAGCTCAGCTCCTGCCACTGCTGCCCATGCCACGGGGATGTGTCTGAGACCCCCATGAGACAGAACTGTCACCCCACAGAGCTGCAGTGACCATGTGGAAGACCATCATGTGCTCGAGCAGGACTGTGGAGCCAGTGATGCAGATACTTCTTGATGTGCTGAGAACCTGGCCAGAGCACAGCAAGTGCACCTCTGATGGGGACAACACGGGTGTCTTTGCCCTGGCTGTGAGTTTCTGCAACTGGCCTTTGCTCACCCCATGGCCGACCGCCTCTCCAATAGCTCTGTTTCCTCCTTCCCCCACCGCATCTGCCTGCCTCAGGCACTGGGCTAAAACCTGGCCTAGGGGCAGCTTCAGGGGCACCAGGCGTGGAGCTCCCCAAGGCTTTCCCCTGGCCTTGCCCTGCCGCGCTCAGGCCCTGCCACACAGATACCTTGGCACTGGGCACTATCCCTGGGTGCTTTGTCCTCTGCAGGCAACAGTGGTGATGTGGAAGTTCCTTCAGGTGCCCTGTGTCCCACGGGTAGTGAATGTGTATTTCCCCCGCCTCGTTGTGCATCTGCTCTTCCAAGTGTTCTTCAGCACTTTGGATATATCAGAGGATCTCAATGCCTTCTGGAAGGGATGCCAGGAGCAACATGGCCTTGCCATCAGCCCCAGCAGGTGCTCCATCCCAGTCATCCTGTTCCTGCCATGTCCCCAGGGCAGGAGCCAGTGCTCCCAGCGTGACCTGGGCTTTGCTGTGCACACAGGTTTGCAGTGCGGGCCCTGAAGTCTCTACTCTGCCGAATGCATTATGAGCAAGTCGTGCTGTCAATGGAACGCAAGTGTGGCTGGGACACGCTGCTCTGTGCTGACACCCACCATCATGCTGTGGGTCTGCTGGCCAGGTGAGACCCCTTCTCCCCATTGCTTCTGGCATTTGTGTCCCGTGCTGAGGTTACCCTACACAGTCCCCATTGTCATGGGTCAGAGGGCCTCATCACCAAGGGACAGCTAAGGAGACTGGAAAACGCTGGGAGAGGAAGGCTCCCACATGGAGCAGTCACCTCCCCAAGGGTTCAGGTCCCCTTGCAGGATGCTGATCAAAACTCTGTGAATCAGTCCTGGGAGATGTTTGTCCCCCTTACCCACAGGCTTTGTTACTTTTTCACCCTGGCAGGGAGATATCCTGTGTCTCCAGGCGCTTGTGTTCCCGGATAGCTCGCTACCTGCTCCGGGTTCTTAGCACACAGGAGGCACGCTGGGATCTGCCTGCCCTGGCATTCCTTGTGGAGGTGAGCCCCATGGCCAGAACTGCCTCCCTGCAGAGCTGTTTGCCACCTCTCTGCCCTCTCATAGCTGCAGCTGCCTGGGACGGTGCCCATGCCCTGGGCTGCCGCCTGGGCCCTG